TTCGTGCCAAAATCTTGTAGAGAAAAGGTACTCCGAGAGTTTCACCATTCGCGCCTTACAGTACACCCGGGAGACACAAAGATGTACCACGATCTTAATCGCTAGTTTTGGTGGAGGCGAATGAAGAGAGACGTAGCCTTGTTTGTTTCAAGGTGCCTGGTGAGTCGTTTTACACACCAAAAATAAATACTAAACTATACAAAATTCCTTAGAATAATGGTAAGTCTAGGTATCGATCCACAATGACAAATGTGAAATTAAACTAAGTTAATTGTTAAAATTCCTAAAATAATTTTAATAAAAGAGATGATTGTTCATAAACTAATGATAATTAAAATAAATGAAGAGATTAAACTAGCAATTAAAAGTAAAGATGAAATTATGATTTTGGGAAAAAGCTAGGGTAATGAGCTCACCACTAGTTACATTAATAAAGTCTCAATTTGAAAATCAATTATGTTACGGTTCAAACCAAATAATACTTCGCAACTACAAGTCTAAAGCATTGATCAAGAGAATTATCACGTTTAATGTATAGGCACGAACCATCTCAAGTAGCACGAGTCGTTCACTCTAAACCAGGGTAGTAATACGACTCGTCCCTTGTAGTATGGCTCGTCTCATACCATGAATATGAAAACAAAGAAAACCATTACATGGAGAGCATTCAACAATCACAGAAAGTAGAATAATTGAAAGAAATAATGAAAAATATATTTAAAAACTTCTTGAATGCCATACAACTTGTTCAAACCATTACACAATCAAAACCAAAAAGAAAACCCTATTTCCTTGGCTAGGGTTTCATCAAAACCCTAGAAATAGAAGCTTAGCCACTCATGGAGAAGTGAGAGGAGGTAGAAGAAGAAGAAACCCCCATGAAAGATGTTCTTGAAGCTTGAGAAGCCTCCTTTCCAAACCTTAGCCCCCATCTCTTTTGAAATATTTTAGACCCTAATCCAGCCATTTTTTAGTCTTTTTATTTTTCTAGCTCTTTCAAACAATTCCAAACAACGGGCACGTTTTTCGAGTACGACCGCACAAGCCACTACACGTGCAACAAGGGTTCCGCATGTGTGGGAATGGGCCTCTTTACGTGCGATTTTCTTGGGTCCTATTTGGTTACGATGGATGGGCTGCACATGCGAGAATGGTCTTCCGTACGTGCGTGAAGCATTTTCTGTTAAAAATACTGATTTTTGTTCATTTTATGCTTCTACTACATCCAACCTGATTGGAATTAAACAAACATAAAATATACAATTTGATTGGCAAGTAAGGTTAAGAGATCCTAGTTACCGGCCTCAATGCTGTACAATTCGGCCTTAATCACATCCCCAACTTACAACTTGCTAGTCCTCAAGCAAGGAATAAAAAAAGAAAAACAAATTAAACAAAATCTAGATACCTCCTCTTTTGTGGGAAGAACGATTGCATTTAGCATATGCAACAAACTTTTAAACCACAAAGTTACCCCAAGTGGACAAGTATAGTCTCGTGAGGGTTTCTAGAAATGATACTCACAAACATTAACATAATTACATCTGCCCAGCAACAATTAAACATATTACTCCACTCAAGAATTAACTGATGTACGAGTACAGTGCAATATTAAGACATGATGAGTCATTGAAGGCACAGTGGACAAGTATGAAAGAATCTATTGAGCAAAAACGACAATTCAGTATTACAAAATTTAAGTTTCTTGTACTTGTGAATGCTAATAAAACACATCATCAGTATCTTCAGTGCAAAGTGCAATCCCCGTAACTAGTTAACTGTCCACTATAATAACCTAATGTAAGTCACAATAACATCCAATATATATACAAAAAAACTAAACTTTAGCAACCAGGATTCTCAAATTTTATTTTTTTTTGAAAGACTATGCAATATCATGATCCATTAAGCTTTCTAATCACCCATGTAACAAGCATTGGACCAATGATTCTAAAACCAGACGGTTTTAGGGCACTGGGTGTGAAGACACCCCTATAGGCTTACTAACTCTAGCTGAAAAGGCTACGGATCCGAATAAGTCTTTTTCCTTATTCTTCCTTAACTGTGCAATGTCTAGGTACCTTAAGCTTTCTAATTAACCCATGTAGCAAGTATTGGGTCAATAACTTCCAAACCATACGGTTTTAGGGCACTAGATGTAGAGACACTCCTATGGGCTTAATAATTCGAGTTAAAAAAGCTACGAATTCAAACAAGTCAAGTTTCTCTCTCTCTCTCTCTCTTTCTCTATCTCTCTTTTGTTTTGTTGTTGTTGTGAGAATCAAGGCTACTAATTTATTCTTTTTCTCCAACACTGGCAATTATTAATGATGTACACCATGAATTATAATATAGGGATTACCACTATGATAGTGTGTTCATGTGAATCAAGGCATACTCATGACAAGTCTACTAATACCACAAACACAAACAACTATTCTAGTGTAAACATCACATGCGAGCATTTACCCAATAAACCCTTTTTATGCAAGTCTACTATGTTCCCCAATTAACATATGCTTATATCCCCACCTTACTAGCAACAAGTCAACACCAAGTGAAGTGGTGCAATCAAGTGAAGCAAGTATAAATATGAATTATGAATTATGAGCCAAGTAGAAGTATATAAAAGAAAATACCCTCATCCCACAACTTGAATATGACATTGTCATCAATGGAAACAAATGTGAAGTAAATAATAAAGAGAGAGAATATTACCAAACATTGTAAGTGCATATCCAGCTAGGCGGATACGAACACAACACAAACACGCGTCCTTTTTTTTTATTATTATTATTTAGAGAAAGAGAACTAAAAATAAATAAGTAAATAAAGAAAACAAAGAAAAAGATAGTCTGTTATTAATGAGAATCCGACAGTGGCGGTGGTGGTGGTAGAAAATACTACTCAAACAAGGCGTGCATCAATGTCTGAGTCTCGAACGTTTCATCATGAACCTGAGCCGGTCAAAATGCTGCTGGCTGGACTCTCGATACGCATAAAAGTCAGTTTACATAGATGCAACCGACTGCTGATAGTCGAGCTTTGGGCGTTGAATTGGTCGAATGTCGCTTGTGAATGATACTAATACCCCTGATAATCCATGTGCAATCCCATGAGAAGCCGGTGGTGATCTTGAAGAGTACTGTGGACCTGATCCATGGAGTGCTGAGGTGGCTTGGCCGCTCGTGCGGTGGCTTGCCACGTGCAGTGGCTTGGCCACTCGTGCGGTGGCCCAGGCCGCACGAGCGGTGGAACTGCAGTAGCCAAAACACTGTTTGGCCACTCGAGCGGTGGCCCAGGCCGCTCGAGCGGTCTGGGTGAAAAACCAGTCCCATTTTCTGCTAATCCGTGGGTCTCCCTCCTTTGCAAAAACAACATCAAATTTATGAAAACAAGGCCCAAGCACTTGAAAACAACTCATCTTAAACATCAAAACTTCTAAACAAAACCCAAATGCATCATTTCTTAAGTCCATGGAGTTTCCTCCCCAAATATGACAAGTATAAACATAAATCATAATAATATGCCATGTATGCTCAAAAATGCATCCTAGGTTAAATACAACACAATACTATCAATTATACATAATTTCCCCTTCATTCCATTTACTTACCATAAGATCATGGGTGAATCAACCTTATTTCAAGAAATAAGAAAGAGATTCTTACCTTAATTAATTAATTGGAGAAGTTTAGGCTTGATTCCCCTTTCTTTCCTCTTCTTCCCTTTGGTTCCCCCTTTCTCACGACCTCTCTCTCTCTTTCTCAGATATTTTCCACTTTTGTTGAGTCAAACAAGGGTCCTTATCTTTATCTATACATCATATATATAATTGTGCCAAAAACTTGAGCCAATCATGGCTTAGCGAATCATACGAAAATCAATTCTCAACTAAATTTTCCAAATGGATCTAAAAATTCCCGATAACATATAGGCGTGTTCAATTTCGTTTTCCGAACCCATTATGGTCGTCAATTTCAGTCCCGAAGTTGTAGCCTCAACAGATATTTTTCCAATTCAAACAGATAGTTCCCAATTAATTCATATTAGCGCATAATTAATTACGAATAATTGTGACATGCGTTTTGGGCCGTTACATTCTCCCCACCTTAGGAAGTTTGGTCCTCCAAACTTAGCTTATCCTGGCACAATCTCAATCGAAAATCTCGATCACATATTATTATCCATTCTACAGTCATTCAGTAGTTCACGAAGTATCATCATACAAAGAAAACAACTCGACGATTCTATTCAGTTATTTAGCCTGACAAAGTAGTTCTTGTATCCATCTCGCAGCAGTGAAGGCAATATCATAGCAGTCAAATACATAATGAATAACATTTCCCCAAAATCAAGTAAGACCGATGCAGTCAATCAAAGAATGTACACAAGTAACATATCACTCAGTAGTTGAGGTTTTAACCCGAAGTCTACTGTTAACAAGTTTCATAGCGTTCAATGCAAAGGTAGTAACATAAATGTAACCATTCCTTACAATTAATAGCAAAGGTAATGTCCACGAGTTCAATTAGTAATGTGATTCATATGTTTCCAAGTGGTCAAATACGGCCTTAATCTGTCATTTTCCTTAGCAACATAGTGCAGTACTTCAAAAGTCTAGGATACATTTGGTTTCGGAGATCATAATTCAAGTTGTCAAGCATAACAACTCATATTCAATTGTTCTGACACGGTATAAGTATGAAAACTATTTATTAATTTAGTTTGTTTTGTCACAGTCACATATTCAATATTTTCCCTCGCGTAGGTAACATTGCCAACATAACAATAGATAGGAAAATCGTACCTGCATTCATTGTTCCAATATTCTGCGTCTTTTCTGAAACTAGGGTGTAAACCCTTCCTTGCCTCAAGGTGTTCCCCTCGGGAGTAGATGTCGTGGTTGTTCTCGGTGTCATTGTTGATTTAACCCCACTAGTAACAGGTCTCTCATTGCTTGGATAGGCTTGTGGACAAGATTTGGCCAAGTGTCCTTTCTATCCACATTTGAAACAAGCTCCAGATACGCGGCGGCAAATGCCCCAATGCTGCTTCCCACATTCCCTACAAGTGGGTATACCAACACTTCCACTACTTCCCCTCTTTGTATTATCACCAATACTTGAGTTCAAATTCTCATTCATGGAGGTCATTGATTCACTAACCATTTCCACTTTCTGTTTCTTGAATTTCTTACTTTCTCCTTCAGTCGTTATTGTTGACTTGGACATTTTCAAGGTAGCAATATTTGCTTCAGACATTAAGGCCCTTTCAAGTACATCAACATACTTTACCAATTTCAAAACATTCACCCGGTCAAGCACTTCGACATGTAAGCCACTCTCAAATTTTTTTTTTTTTTTTTGTAGTCTGTATCAACCATATGAGGAGCATATCGGGCTAATTCAGTAAATTTAGCTTCATACTCCGCTACTGACATTGTACCTTGCTTCAACTGTTCAAATTCAGATACCTTCTTATCTCGAAGGCATTGTGGGAAGTATTTTTCATAAAACATTTCTTTGAATTGATCCCATGTCAAGTCCCTATGCTCATCTCGAACGAGCATCCACCAACTTCTAGCTTCTTCTTTCAGAGTAAATGTTGCTAACAGAACTTTATACGCGTCAGTGCACGGAAACACTTCAAAGATCTTTTCAGTTTCAAGCACCCATGCCTCCGCTTTTAACGGTTCAATACCCCTTGAGAATTCTGGTGGTTTCATTGTCTTGTATTTTTGTGTCAGAGTGATGATGTCATCATTATTGATCGGTTCCATTTGAACAGGTGGCGGAGGAGGAGGCGGAAATGGTTGTCTCTGTTGTTGTTGGTTTTGCTCTTGTTGTTGTCTCACCAACCCAGTTAAAGCTTCCACCATTCTTTCTAACCGATCTATTCTGGCATTAGAAGATTCTGACTCATCTACATTCCTTGCGTTGGTGGTCTCCATTAGTCTATAGAACCCATAGCAGATAGAGCATTTTATTCTCAACATAGTGTTTCCTCTGTTGTCTCATCATTTACAGTTCTTGTTTCTTATATTTCAAAAACACACACACACATGCACACATGTTTATGCCATGCCCTATTTCTTTTCTAAGACATCCTACAGCTCATATGGACACGTGTATGGGTAAATTAACTCGTACTCTGATACCATTCTGTCACGACCCAAACCCGTCCCTAAAAGTTTGGCATCGTAACCAGCTGTAGACACCCCATTTTTGGCCGTCCTTAAGACTTGGACGTCATCGTTTGAACACTCGATGATTACCCTTGTTTGTGTTCGTCTTGAGTTCTCGGAGGTTTTGGCTACTCGCCTTGCCTCAAGACCTCTCGACTTGTTTGTTTTGTGTTTGGTTTTACATCAAACACTTATTGTTTTGCTTCTGAGGGTGGGAAATAGCTTGTAGGCCATCCCCACACCTCACCGACCATGGCTTGAGGCCACCGGCCTTGTTTCCTTGCCACCGGCCATTGGTGATGGTCGGTCGGCACTTTTTGTGGTCGGTGTTGGCCGATTAGCCATTTTTTCTGGCCGATACCTTTTCTTGAGGGGGGTTTGAACCATTTGAACCCCCTGTTTTAGCTTCTTGAGGAAGCTTGAACCTTTTGACCCTTTTTAGCTTCTCCAAGAAGCTTGACCCTTTTTAGCTTCTCTAAGAAGCTTGACCCTTTTGACCCTTCTCCAAGAAGCTTGACCCTTTTTTAGCTTCTCTAAGAAGCTTGATCCTTTTTTTAGCTTCTTGAAGAAGCTTGAACCTCTTGACCCCTTTGCTTAGCTTCTTCAAGAAGCTTGGCCCTTTTGCTCCAAGCTTCTAAGAGAAGCTTGGCCTTTTTGCTCCAAGCTTCTAAGAGAAGCTTGGCCTTTTTGCTTAAACCTTCTAAGAGAAGCTTTGCCCCCTTGGTTTCTCTATAAAAGGAGAGCCTCTCCTCCTCTTTAGAGGGTGAGAAAAATCTGATATATATCATATATATATCACTCCCTCTCTATATCTCCCTCTCTCTCTACATTTGTGTGGGTTAGAGGATGCAAAAGGGTCTAGTTCTTGGCCATTTGAACTACACCTCCTAGTACAACACCTCCATCATCAACCTAAGGAGCTTGGAGGCCATTTTCAGAGGCTAAGGGACTGTTTTTTTGGACCAAGAGGCTGTTGTCCCCTTTTGATTACAAAGGTAACTCATTTTCCCTCTTTATTCCCGGTTTTTGCACACGCTTTTAGCCTATCTTGCTTGCTGTTTTGAGCTTCGTGTATAACATAAAAAATTTATGTTTTTTTTTTTTTTGTGTTTAAGATACTTCATTAAGGTCACTTTTGTGTTTGGAGTCATTTACCCCCTCTTAGGCCTTGTTTGGCCCCATTTTGTGCTTAATTTGGTGAGTTTCGGGACCACCTTGTTTGGGCCTCCTCACCACTGAAATCTTAAGGGATTTCAGTGGTTGAGGATGGTGGTTTAAGGTCCTAAGAAGGAGAGGGCCATCCCTTCTCCTTGTTGTCTTCAAAAAGTGCCATTTTAGCCTCATGTTGAGCACCATTTTTAAGTTCATGTTGGCCATGTCTTAAGTAGTATTTGTGTTTATTTTGCCATGGTATAGCACTGTTTTAAGTTGGTTTAGACACACCATGCTTGCTTTGCATACTTGTCTTGTAATGCCATGAAATTGCCTTAACATGTATCTAGCATTTAGACCACTATGCTTACTTGTTTTGGCTTAGCTTTGTGAAGCTTTTATGCATGTTTTAGTGTGCTTGAGGTCTGTTTTGGGTCATTCGAGTCATCCATGCTTTGCTTTGTATAGCTACCATGCAAACTCTCTTGTATGCCTTGAGCATTGACCCCTCTAGCATGCCATCCTTGCATCATTTTAGTGGTTTGGAACCACTTGTCATGTTTTTTCAGTCCTTGTGGCATGCCTAAATGCTTGCATTTGATATCCCTTTAATGTGTTAAAAGGTTATTGTCTTATGCTCCTTGTTTGGGCCCTTGTGCATGCCTCCATACTTAAGCCATTTAGATGCCATTTAGGTAGGTTTTGAGGCTCATTTTAGCATGTCATATCTCTGTTTTCAGTCACTTAATTCATGCCATGTGTGGTTGCACTAAGTGTAGTTCAATGCTTCTTTGGCAAGCCTTAGGCTTTAGATCATTTGTTGTATGCTATGCTTGTCTTGTTTGCTTGTTTTGGCACCATCATTAATATGATTTTCAGAGCTTACATTGCATGCCATATGCCCATGTTGTTCTTTTTTTAAGTGTGCTTAAAAGTTGTCTCTATGTGCCTAAGTGTTGGACCTTGCATGCATGCCTATTTGTATGTGTTTTGGCTTCCATTCTTCGGCATGTTGGCCACTGTTTTGGACCTAGTAAAGGGCTGTCCAAATTAGTTTAAGACCATCCCTTGGACATGTTGTTGCATGCTATACATGTTTGTATTTTTTGGTACTTAGCCTATTAACATGTTGCATGTTTAAGTGTCATTGCATTTGGCATGCTTCTTGTGTTAAGTCGCTTTGCATATTTACATGTGTTATGCCTTTCAAGTTGTTGCATGTGTGTCATTAACATTGATATTATATGCCTTGCATGCTTACTTGTTTAGTTCATGTGCCTATTGCACATGGTTTTGTTGTTTGCATGATCATGTTGCACACTTAGCTCACATACCTAGGTTGCATTACATTGGCATGCATGCTTTGCCTCTTGAATTGAGTATGATAGAGGTTGAGTTCATTGTGTGTTTGTGTGCATTATATTTGACATTAAAATGCACAACTTGGTTTCTTGGGCCATCACACATTGAAATGTGCGATTGGTGGTCCGAGAATCGAGTATCATACCCCTTTGAGTCATAAACATGATAAGGGGTGTGTTGGTGCACACATTTGCTTGAAATGCATTGCCATGCCTTGTCTTGCCCTCTGCTGCTGTCAAAACAGGTTCTGCAGGAAGAATTGACCGGTCGACTACATACAGTGCCGACCGACCATGTATTGTTGGCCGAGAGTCACACCAGTGGCCGATGACCACATCCCCTTAGCCGGTGATCATTTACCTTGGCCGGTGGCACTCCACAGTGTGCAGAGAGGATACCTTGGGACTTGTGTAGCCTTTAGAGGTGCCAAACAGTGAAAACAGAGGCAACATGTGTCATGGCAATGGATTTCCGAGCGAAGCCAATCCGAGCATGCATTCATCCCTCTTCCCAAGG